TGCCGGCCACGCGCCGTCCGGGCCTCGCTCTTATTCCGGCGTCCGCGCACGCGCAGACCGGGGCGGGGTCCACGCCCCCGAATCCCGCGGCGCCCGCGGCTATGCGTACCGTAAATGTCCGAATACGAGGGGAAACGGCCTTCGGAGGCCCTGACCCACTTTCCTCCGTGACAAAGTGAACTAAAAGGTATGAAGCCCGTTTGACGTAGAAACTTCTGGAGGGTGTGAACGGACCGACAAGGGGTCCACTTGCCCTGTTTCACCTTCCACATACATACTACCGAAAATGTCTCTGCTAACGATCCTATTTAATGTGGTAGCCACTCCCCTCGGGCACTCCCCATTTTCTCTTCTCCCGCGGCGTTTGGGTCCCCTAAAAAATAAAATTTAGGCCGGGCTCGGTGGCTCAGCCTATCATCCCAGCACTTTGGGAGGTCGAGGCGAGTGGACTGCCTGAGCTCGCGGGTTCGAGACCAGCCCCGGGCAACTCTTGGCGAGACCTCGTCTCGGCAATAAATCCAAAATTAGCCGGGCGTGGTAGCGCGCGCCTGCAGTGCCGGCTACTTGGAAGGCTGCGGCAGAAGAAGGATCGCCCGAGCCCAGCAGCCTGGGCGACGGAGTGAGACTCCGACTCAAAAAAATAAATAAGATAACATAAAATTTAAAAGAAAGTCATTTTATTTTAAAAACAAAATCAAAATTTATTTTGATTTATTGGCCGGGCGCGGTGGCTCATGCCTGTCAGCCCAGTACTTTGGGAGACCGCGGCGAGAGGATTTCTTGAGTCCAGGAGTTTGAGACAAGCCTGGGCAACATAGCGAGACTTCGTCTCTACAAACAAACAAACAAAAACTAGCCCGGCATTGTGGCGCGCGATTGTAGTTCGAGCTTGCACAGAGGCTGAGAGGTGGGAGGATCGCCTGAGCCCAGGAGGTTGAGGCTGCGGTGTGCCATGATTGTGCCACCATACTCCAGCCTGGGCTACAGAGTGAGACCCCGACTCAAAATATATATACACATACATTTATTGATTTGGATTTATTGTCTGATTCCTCTAGAATACCAGCTTCAGAAGGGATGTTCTCTGGGTCATTTCTGTATTCCCCCTACCTGCCTGACATAGTGCCTGAAATATTTGGTAGGACTGAGCGGGTGGCTCAAGCCTGTAATCCCAGCACTTTGGGAGGCCGAGGAGGGAGGATTGCATGAGTCCCGGTGTTCAAGACCAGCCTGGGCAACTTGATGAGACCTCATCTTTACAATAAATCAAAAAATTAGCCAGGCGTGGTGGTGTGGGCCTGTAGTTCCAGCTACTTGGAAGGCTGAGGCAGAGGGATCTCCTGGGCCCAGCAGGTAGAGGCTGCGGTGGCCATGAGCATGCCACTGCACTCCAGCCTAGGTGAACAGAGTGAGACTCCAACTCAAAAAGAAAAGAAAAGAAAAGAAATATCTGGTAATTGAATTAATGAAACTCTAGTTTCTGGCTTCCATTCTGGGTCCTCTATCGCTGTCATCTGGATGTGATCATGAACCTTCGCCACCTCATTTAATCCTTACAAATGCTGGAGAGAATTGTATTCTGATTTCCTGCTTCTTCAGGAAAAAGACATGTAAAGTCAGCTCTTGGGCTTTCTCTTCCCTCTAGTACCCAGTAGGCTCATGAGACAGGCTTTCTAGCCAGGCCAGTGGCAAACACCTGTGTTCCTAGTGTTTTGAAAGGCCAAGACTCTTGGAGAATCACTTGAGCCCAGGAGTTCAGCCTGGACAACTTAGTGAGACCCATCTTAGAACAAGAAGCAGGCTTTGTATCCATTCTAGCTGCAGTGTTTGTTTTTTTTTCTTAAAAACTCCAGTTCTGCCTTCTGAACAGCAAATACAGCTGCCCGCAAAAGCCCAGACAAGTCACTGTCCCTCAGTGCAAGTGTTTGCCACCGCATCCCTCTGCGCCGACAAGTTCCAGATTTTTCTTTTTTTTGAGTTAGAGTCTCACTCTGTCACCCAGGCTGGAGTGCAGTGGCATGCTCACGGCCACCGCAGCCTTGACCTCCTGTGTTCGGGCGATCCTTCCACCTCAAGCATCCAAGTACCACCACGCCTGGCTAATTTTTTAAATTTATTATAGAGATGAGGTCTTGCCCAGTTTGATCTCGAACCTGTGAGCTCAGGCAACTCTATCACCTTGGCCTCCCAAAATGCTGGGATTATAGGCATGAGCCGCCACACCTGGCCAAGTTTCAGATTTGCACAGAAAGGGTTGTATGTGCAGGTCACTGGCATGTTTCACCATTTTTGTTTGTTTTTGTTTTTGGATTTTTTGAGTTGGAGTCTCACTCCATCGCCCAGACTGGAGTGCAGTGGCCGCTCCCGGCCACCGCAGCCTCGACCTGCCAGGCTCCGGCGATCCTTCCGCCTCAGCCTTCTGAATAGCCGGAATTACAGGTGCGTGCTACCACGCCCGGCTGATTTTTTTATTTATTGTAGAGATGAGGTCTCGCTGCCCAGGCGGGTCTCGAACCCGCGGGCTCAGGCAATCCACTCACCTCAGCCTCCCAAAGGCGCGGGATTGCAGGCTGAGCCACCGAACCCAGCTCCACACCAAATTTCAAGTCAAGGTGGTCTCGCCCTCCTTGATGGCCCCTGCGCACCCTGTCCAGCCTTTCTCCCTCCTGACCTTTCTGATCTGATTCAACCTTTTGCCCTAACCAGAATCCCACCTCCTCCAGGAAGTCTTTAGGGCTTAGCCTTTGTAAGAGCCACTCGGGAGCAGTTAGACCTGCTGCCTGAGCCACTCAGGGGCAGTTAGACCTGCTGCCTGCAACTGTGGCCTTTCACAGCCTGTTCTAAGCTTCCAGAGGGCAGAGTGGTCTCAGCACTCCCTTGGTACATAGCTGGTCTTTTTCACCTGCTGAAGGGCTCCATGGCTGTGCCATGGGCAGCCGTGACACACCTCACTTAAAGTCGTTGCCCAGCTCTTGCGGCCAGACTTGGGCGCTTCTCTTGCCAGATCTCCGGTTCCTTCCCGGCCCAGAGAGGCCTTCCCTGACCTGCCTTGGGTGAGCCTTTCCCGTGAGCCTCTCTCGCGGTCCTCTACCCTCCCGTTGAGCTGCAGGGCGGCCAAGATCAGGCAGGGGCCACAGCCGGGAGGGGCTGATGAATGTGTGTGCTGGATGGCTGGGAAGTCTCCAGCAAGGAAAGGAAGCTCTCTGCTCCACAGACTCCCTCCCACCGCCAGTGGTCCTGGATCAGCCCCCAGGAGGGGTCACCCATTCCCACCACTCTCAGGGGCAGAGCCAAGCCCTTAGCGGGGGCAGTGCTATCTCTTGAGACCTGTCACCTGAACCTGACTCTAGGCCCAGGGCAAGTCTCTCTCCTGCCCCTGAGGTGCTGCGAGAGGATACCCAACACCAATGTCACCCCCAAATCCAAGCAAATCCAGGAGACGCCGGAACGCCATGTATTTGTCATAAATAAGGTCACATTCTCCCTGGAGGGAATTCAAGGAGGCAAAGCAGTCAGGAGGCCCCGAGGGCACAGCCAGGGGCCCCAGGGCAGAGTCACAAGTAAGGCTGGTCCTTGGACAGTTCCCACTTCTTTATGGGAGGAGCTGGCGTCACCGCCTTCTTCTCAGTGGCTGTGACAGCTGAGCTGGAGGGGGAAGAAAAACTTTAGTTAGGGCCAGATTCCCAGAGAACAGTGTGGAAGGCGAGAGTGCAGGGTGTTCCAGTGTTGGGAGGGGATGTGATGTGGGGAGCAGACGAGTGCTGTCACTGTAGCAGGCCTTGAGTAAAGGCCCCAAGCAAAGGCAAGTTCTCACTTGGTAGCTCTGCATCCTAGTCAAAGGCAAGGCATGCAGCCTGCTACATGGAACGGCGTCTCAGATGCCCATACATCCGGGTGCACCTAGTATAAATAAAGCCTTAGCTACAACAAGATAACCATGGAATAGCTCACCTTTAGGGAGCAACAAAATTCCATTATAGCTTCCTCACAGACCTTGAGTCCCTTCCAAATTCCTTTGTGCTTGATTAGAAAATAAACATGCGGAGCTAGTTCGGGGCCACTTCTCCATCAAGTCCTAATGCCTGGCCTTATCACCTCCCAGATCTCAGCACACTGTAAGCCTACTATCCCAATTTTACAGAAGAAACTGAGGCTCAAAAAAGCTTAGGGAGGCTGGGCATGATGGCTCACATCTGTAATCCCACACTTCGGGAGGCCACGGTGGGAGGACTGCTTGAACTCAAAAGTTCAAGGCCAGCCTGGGCAACATAGTAAGACCTCATCTCTACAAAAAGTGTAAAAAATTCACTGGGCATGGTAGTACGTGCCTATAGTCCCAGGCACTCAGGTTGCTGAGGCAGGAGGATCCCCTGAGCCCAGGAAGCCGAGGCTGCATGAGCCATGATCATGCCACTGCACTCCAGCCTGGGCAAGAGTGAGACTTCAACTCAAAAAAAAAAAAAAAGGCCAGGCGGAGTGGCTCAAGTCTGTAATCCTACCACTTTGGGAGGCTGAGGCAAGAGGACTGCCTGAGCTCAGGGGTTCAAGACCAGCCTGGGCAACTTGGTGAGACCTTATCTCTACAACAAATAAAACAATTAGCTGGGTGTGGTAGTGTGCACCTGTAGTTCCAGCTACTTGGAAGGCTGAGGTAGAAGGATCGCCTGAGCCCTGCAGGATGAGGCTCTGGTGGTTGTGAGCATACTACTGCACTCCAGCCTGGGCAACAGAGTAAGACTCTAACTCAAAAAACCCAAAAAAACAAGCCGGGCTGTGGCTCAGCCTGTAATCCTGTGCCTTGGGAAGCTGAGGTGAGTGGATTGCCTGAGTCCGCGGGTTTGAGACCCGCCTGGGCAACTTGGTGAGACTTCATCTCTACGATAAATAAAAAAAAAAAATCAGCCGGGCGTGGTAGCGCACACCTGTAGTTCCAGCTACTTGGAAGGCTGAGGCGGAAGGATCGCCGGAGCCCAGCAGGTCGAGGCTGTGGTGGCTGGGAGCGGCCACTGTACTCCAGTCTGGGCGACAGAGCGAGACTCCAACTCAAAAAAAAAAAAAACCCAAAAAACAAAAAAAGCAAGATTACATAACCAGTCATGTCTTGGCTCCTCCCAGGGCCGTTGAAGGGACCCTGAAACTTCATCTGCTTTGTAGGACCTGCACCCCTGGCTAAGGTGCTAACCCCTGTCCTGCGCTGGGTTGGATGACATGAGCTCTCGAACAAAAAAGCCCCCAACGGCACAGTCCCTGACGCAGTGGGTGCTCACTGGGATCCTGGCATGCTTTCTTCCTGCAAGTGGGGGAGAGGGTCGGCTGCAGGAGGGGGTGTAGGGACTCTGGGTGAGCGACGCTGGAGGGCCTCACCTCTCTGCTGGCTTGCCGGACACCAGTGCCTTCTGGGAGGACATAACGACAGACGGGGGCACAGCTTCCCGACGACCGTCTCGCGTGCAGTAGTAATTGTTGAAGAGCTTGTGGCTGGGGCCCACAGGGAGCTTAGGAGGAGGCTGAGTTCTGAGGAAAGGGAAAGGGAATATCAGCACTGAAGCCAACAGAGAGGTGGTCACATTGTCCCGTGGTGGGCCATCACCCCAGTCATGAGACTCGGAGTCCACAGCCCGCCATGGCGATAGGCTACAGGCCAGGGCATCTCTTGGTGTGCTGGTAGGGACACACAGCCAAGGAGGGTCCCAGGGTCTAGAAGCAGGTGGCATCTCCTGCTCTACAGAGGTGCTGGAAGGCAAAGCCGCAGTCTCTCCCACCCCAGGACCCCCACCTGTCCCAAATGTGGTGGGTATGGAAGACCCACTGTGAGGCCCCAGGGCAGGGGGAGGCCCAGACATGTCCCCATCCCACACAGCTGAGCCTGGCAGTTGGCCTCACCACCACCTGCAGGGGCAGACCCAGACTTAGCCCATTTTGAGTGTTTCCTGTTATCTCAAGAACTCTCTGGAGAACCCTGTTGGGATCAAGGCTTATTACTCAAAGAACACTTCACCCTCGGAGCCTGTCCAGGTCTCTGCATTTCCTGGCACTGTGTGGTCAGACAATAAGACTCTGCAGCCCAGAGTGAGGGTTCTTGGCTTGGAGTAAACCCTGGGCTGAATTTACCTAGAAGCCTGAGGTTCTAAAAAGAAAATGCTGCTGGGTGTGGTGGCTCACGCCTGTAATCTCAGCACTTTAGGAGGCAGAGGAGAGAGGACTGCCTGAGCCCATGGGTTTGAGACCAGCCTGGCAATATGGCGAGACCTCGTCTCTACCATAAATCGAAAAATTAGCCGGGCATAGTGGCACACACCTGTAGTTCCAACTACTTGGAAGGCTGAAGCAAAAGGAATGCTTGAGCCCAGCGGGTGAAGGTATGAGTGTGCCATTGTATTCCAGCCAGGGTGACAGAGTGAGACTCTGACTCAAAGATTTCCACTGGGTACATTGGCTCAAACCTATAATCCTAGCACTTCCAGAGGATTGCTTGAGACCAGGAGTTCAAGACTAGCCTGGGCAACATAGAAAGACCCATCTGTAATTTTTTTTTTTT